CCTCCAGCTCGATGAGGTTGGCCTTCTCCAGCCGGGCGTCGCCCGCCTCGTTGTGCAGCGAGTGGTTGGGGGAGCTCTCGCTGGAGCGCACGCCCGAGTCGGACGAGTCCTTCTTGTCAAGCAGGGCGTCCGACAGGTACTCCTTGGCCTTGATGAAGGTGCGGATGGGCTCGGCGCTGCGCTCCGGGGACCGGGAGCTTGCTGGCGGACTGGTCGGACTTCTCGTCCTCTTCGGTGATGGGGTCCAGGGGGGAGGCGTCGTTGGTGGAGACCCCGGACGAGGAGTAATCGAGCACGTCGGCCCTCTTCAGCAGGAACGGCTTCCTCCCGTCCTCCGGCTTCGGGTCGCCGTCCTTGTTCTTCTCCGGCTCCAGGGCGGAGTGGATGGAGCCCCCCGAGGAGCTGGGCCCCAGGTAGCATGTGCTGTGGGGGGAGGACCTGCCACTGACGGCCGTGGAGCCCGGCCCCCCTTCTAACTGCGACATCTGCGCAATGTACTCCCTATAGGCGTCTCGGTACTCGGCCTGCACCTTGTCCGTCAGCTTGGAGATCTCAATGCTGGAGTCCTGGGAGTTGAGGCTCGAGAGACTGGGGGTTCTGCGCGTTTGCGACTGTGAAGACAGAGAAAATAACTAAGGATTCAGGTAAGCAAAAAAGGGGGGCAGGGGGCAGCCCAGGCGTGACTCAGGGGTTGAGCGGAGACCTATGAACCAGGAGGTCAGGGTTCGATTCCTAGTCGGGGCACATGGGGCGAGCAGGAGGCAGCTGATCCATGATTCTCTCTCTCCCTCCCCCTTCCTCTCTGAAATTAATAAAAAAATATATATTTTAAAAACCACAAAACTCTCCACCTTTAAAAAAGGGAGGGGCATAATAAACACCAGCTTAGGAAATATATGTGTACACTAAGAATTTTTAAAGTGCTCACTTTTAAAAAGAATTCTGCATGATAGTTTAACAAAAGCTGTGAACTATGGATAATTTCCCTGTTAATAGAAAAACTTATATAAATTTTAATAAAATTAGTTTAATATTTTAAAGTATAAATTAAAAGTTGTGTTAACAAATAATCTTAACACTTGTTTTCAAAACTTCAAATTTTTAACTTTTCTTTTGAAAAAGCCAACTTCATTGATAAAATGTAAAAATTCCCCTTTGAAAAGAGAAAGAAGATTAAAGATATATCTCAAAAACAAAATACTCATATCTTCAATGTATGTTTAAAAAAACAAAACACCTTTCTCAACTTGTAAGATATAATGTTTCTGTCAAATTTCAATTCAGAGTAAGAAAATATACTCAAAACGCAAAAAAGAAAAGAAAAGAAAAAGAACAAAGCCGTTAAAGGACCTAGAGCTTGGAGGCGGGAGAGGAGATAAACACGGAGCCACCGCGGCAGGAGGGGGAGCCGTGAGCCAACAGGCAGGTCTTGTAAACAGAGAAATAAAATATTTTTAGAAGATCGGCTCCCAGTGCGAAGGTTTATTTATTTGTCTATTCTATTTTTTTAAATCCTCACCCAAGAACATGCTTTCATTGATTTCAGAGAGAGGAAGGGAGGGAGAGAGAGAAACAGCACTGATGAGGGAGAATCACGGATCGGCTGCCTCCTGCTCGCCCCCCACTGGGGACCGAGGCCACAACCCGGGCCTGTGCCCTGACCGGGAACTGAACCCACGACCTCTCGGTCCACAGGACGGCGCCCAACCAACTGAGCCACACGGGCCAGGGCTCCAATGTAAGTGTCAGGGTTAGACTTGCTGTTGATCCCAGAGACGCTAGTAAACGAGGAGCAGAAAGAACAGACGGAGAAGAGGAGAGACGTGAAGAATCAAGGACGCAGGTGGAGCCTGAGCTCTCTGACCCGGAACCCAGCAGCCAGTCCCGGCGCCCTCACCAGCCCGGTTTCCCGTCTGCGCGGCTCTCCCCGGTCCCAGCCCCCGAGCTCTCCCTGCGCTCCTCCCTCGGGTCGGGTTGGGAGTGGCTTCCGAGTGACGACCTCATGGCCCCACAGAGCCCGGTGAGCTGACATGGCCCTCCCGCCCGCCCCCTCGGTCAC